GATCTATCTATAGGATAACCGGATATAAAATTAGCAAGATAATCAACGACGACACTAATCTTGTTTAAGGACTTTACATTTTAATATTCTGTATGTGAATAAAATGCGAGAAGACGGGTTACCCTAGTCGGTATAGTGACTGGCCTACGGGCTGGACAGCCGAGGAGTCGGGGTTCGATATTCGGCAAGGGGATAAGTACAGGCCAGCTCCGTGTCCCACCTAACCTCCTATACAATGGATACCGTTGGTTGTTACTCCGGGGGTTGGTAGTGAAGGTGACCACTCAGCTCCATCTAGTGCCGATATTAAGAATGATGGAGCTGTAATTCCATTCCCCCATACGCCTTCACAGCGCAGTGCTTATTGAATTAATTAGATATTTCTAAAATACATTTTCATTGTGAAAATAAATTCTTGTCATTTTGTTAACATTATCAGCTTTCTATCCGGTTTTAGAGACAGATCTGCATGTCTTAATATAAAAATTGCGGCGTGTGAGAAATACTCATGTGGGATTAATACTAGAATTTTCTCTTCTCCACGTTGTCCAGACCGACTCTGGGGTCCGCCTAATCTCCTATACATTGGGTATCGGGGGCTCTTTCCCTGGGGGTAAAGTGGCCGGGGAGTGAAGCTGTCCACTCACCTCCAGCTAGTGCCGAGGTTAAGAAAATGTGGCTCTATACAACCACTCCCTGATATGCCTTCATGTCTTAGTGCTTAATTAGTTAAGCACAAGGACAACTTTACATTTTACCATTTAATGTTGTGATCTGAGGTCTTGTGAAGCAATAGACATTCTAAATACATGCAGCGTGTGTTAAGACACACTTCTGTGAGTGCACCAGAGCAACAAACGTGAAGCATATGTTCAGCTTTAGTTTGATGCTGATTACTAATAAATTACTGGTGAAATTCTGTGTGCAAATACTCTGTGGAATTCTTTCTAAGTGTAAAAAATTAAAAACCTAGATGTGCATATTGTGGATATTTGAGGTTACGTCCGACAAATGTAACAGTTTTGGAATATACATAAAAGCAAATTTCATACAGAGCCGGTCACAGTAGCCAAGTGATCTAAGGCAGGCACTGTCTTCGCTTGCTCGAAAGCCGGGTTCGTGGGTTCGAATCCCACTCAGGGTATGAATGTTTTGTGTGTTGTGTGTGTGTGTGCATGCGTTCTTCTGTGTTTGTGTACAGTCAGAGGCCTTGCGACGAGCTGATCACCCTCCCAAGGAGTCCTACCGAATATCTAAAATACAGTAAACTGAAGTGAAACGGAGAGTTTCATGGAGGTAGGCCAAGGCCTGAATTGGAGCTGTAGCGCCAAAGGAAAAAGAAAAGTTTTATACAGAAGTGGGCCAACACATAGTGTAATTACCAAAATAAAGCCCTTAATACCACCACTTTAAAGAATGGAACACTTGAAGGAAAACTGGTGTCATTAATTCTTCCAAGAAATTCTTGTTACGAAACATATCAGGCTTCCAGTAGATGTTTCATGTGACAGAACACAATCTACCTCGTTGCACAATTATGTAAAGACTGTAACGTGTGTGTGTGTGTGTGTGAGTGTGCTGGTACAAAGAACATTGATACTAGGTTTTAATATTTGTTTGCTTTAGCTTGTTAGGCATAGAGACAATAGAAATTAAACTGTTGCTGTGTGTGATACAGAGTCTCATGATGCGCAGAGGTTCCGTTCGTGATAATGTTGGAAGAGAAACAAAGTTCAGGTAACTTTATTTGTGGTTCACGTATTCAGGAAGTGGCCCCAATTGTGACCTTAGAACTGTAAGGATAATTTCATTCAAACCTTTGTTTTTCCACGTTGAAATAGTCGACAGAAATATTAGATTTGTCCTCCTCCTATTGGGCTGAATGTCCTGATTGTGTTATATTTTCCTAGATTATTATTAACTCAGTGATACAAAATCGTATACTGTGAGTATTGGTAGGTACTTAGATGATCAAGTGATTTAATGTCGCCTTTGTTTCAGTATTTTTATAATAGTTTTAACAGAATCCTCTGTGTTTATTCTGAAACAATTACANTATATATATATATATATATATATATATATATATAGGTCTACGAAATTGTCTCTTCGTTTGAATTTTCCATGCAGAACTTTATGTTCCTCATTTCTTCCTATGCGTGCTAAATGTCCCGACCAGTTCTTTTTGATTTTATTATTTCAATGATATTTTTCAATTTTTAATCTTCTTTTCTAGCTCCACGTATCTTTCTCAGTATTTTGCTGCCAAACGCTGTGTTATACTTAGACATTAAGAACACGCAACGACTCCATTGCATCCTAAAATATTAATTATATCCCCCTCCCCCTTAGATACTGTATAGAAATTCTTCTTTAAATAATTGGTTACAGCAGTCTTCTAAGCCGTAAATCAAAACTAAGCGATACATAAAATTTGCTTTTAGGAAGCCGTTATAATCACGGGAGAAATGTAACATTATTAATACAGAAGCTATGCTGACTGGCTAGGGAGACGCAACGTATTTACGTCCAGTATTTCATTTCTGAAACTGATGACAAGATTTCGATTATATTCAGTATATGGATCTGTATAAAATGTCGGAAGAGTTGTTATTAACCTGTGATTCAGATAAGAGAGTCGGATTAGCCCAGTCGATAAAGCGACGAGCTAGGGGTCGGACGGCCGGGGTTCTTTTCCCGGTAGGACAAGATTTTTCTCTCTCCATAGCGTCCAGACCTGTTCTGGGGTCCACCCAGCCTCCTATCCAATTGGTACCGGGCTAAATTTCCCAGGGGGTAAAGCGGCCAGAGCGTGAAGCTGACAACTCGCATCCATCTAGTGCCCAGGTCATGAATGGTGAAACTACGCATACCTTGATTCCCTCTTATGTCTTCATGGCGTGGTGCTTAATTAATTAAGCACAGGAACAAATTTGGATTTGTCTGTATTGGTGAATGGATATATTTACCACTTACACACACGACTTGAAAAATCAAGTAATTACAGCGCCACCGCTAATCTCAACAATTCAAAAATCACAATACCCGTTAAGCCTTTTTCAGCCTGCTGTCTCTTTACCAGCCGTTCCTTGACAACGGCTTCTAACAGTGAAGATTCTTCAGCTTTAAGCGCTGAGATTCTATCTTCACACCCTTCCATGTAGAACTAAACTCTGAACTAACTGGGTTGCCCTAATTGTCTATCTTATAACTCCTTTAACGGACCGAGTAGGAAACCTCTTTTCTAACAGTAACGCTATTGTTGTAGAGGCGTGTTTACCTCGCCGTTGCATAGCAACAACTGTTGTCTCGTTTGTTTTGAGGTCTTCGCCTAACAACGGAACTATACGTAAAATTATTAACACATTATATTGACGGGTTTGTATAGTGACAATGCTGTAGGCTTGTTTCCTGCTGGAATCGCTAGGTGGAGTCCAACTGGGTCCGCTCGCCACGGCGTCCACTGATTGGCCTATTGTAACCTGTCCCGGGTGATTATGATGATGGAGAATTTGGTGGAATGAAGATTGGCAGGGGAAACCGAAGTACTCGGAGAAATCCCGCCCCAGCGCCACTTTGTCCACCACAAATCCTACTTGACCAGACCCGGGATCGAACCCGGGCCGCCACGGTGGGAAGCCAGAGACTAACCGCTTGAGCTATGATACGGCAAAATCCCTAGGTTACTGCTAAACTTGAATAATGCTCTTTTTTTATTTATAATGAAACACAGTTTATTTATAAATAATAAATAATAAAATTAAAATGTAATATTGAAGAAGCCCGCTTTGACATTTCCATGTGCGGATTACTAGGCGTCTGACTGGCATTAAGCGTACCTAAATATTCTACAATCCATTTTCAGTGCTACAGAATAAATTATTCATGCTCACTGTCGATTTCAGCCGGACTGGTTTTATGTTTAATCATTTCGCAGGAGTGTATACGCAACAGTAAATTACATAAAACGTGTTACGTGGAAAACAATCATAAAATTATATTTTAATGAGAAATATAATTAAATGCAACAGCGTCAATATATTTCAGTTGCCAGACGAATTCAGAGGTAATACGGCGAAATAGACAATAAAACTTTCATTTAATCTCCGTATCTAGTTACAATTAATCTTTAGTGTTGTTCGTAATGTAGTCTCAGCAGTATAAAGGGAGTCGTTAGAACCTAAAATAAATTATAATTATTATGCTCAAAATATTATCTTTTGTATTGGTGAATTATTTAACATTTAAACGCCATGCATCTCTGGGGCTTATTGACCTAAGAATAAATAGATTTGTTTTAATGTCTGGTGTCTGAAAACACAAAACTTAATATATATAATTTTGTCTGTTGTTTTGTATGGGTGTTAAACTTGGTCTCTGACATTGAACGAAGAACATAAGGTCCTTGAGAATAGATGAGTACTGAGGAGAATATTTTGAACAAAGGCACGTAGGATTCACGGGATAGAAGAGGAATGCTTACAAGATTTCGGTGGGAAGGCCAGAAGGAGAGAGACCGCT